GGGAGCTCGGGCAAGGCCTTGGTTTGCCGGTCTCAAGCAAGAAATCCTGCAGCTGGTAGCAAGGACTCAAGAATCCAGCATCATCGCCTTATATAATATAATAGTCTCCATGTGCACTTCACTTGAGGAGGTGTTTGAACTCCGATGCTTGGGAAAAGCCTATAAGGGCTGTGATCTAAGGGCTGTCGTCCACAACGTCCGAAAGAAGAGTCTTCCACCAACCCCATGGATCACAAAGCTTCTGAGGTACGGTGATTGGAGACACTGTTATGTAGGCCAGGAGGGCCCAGTCGTACCTTCTAAGAAGGTGGCGTGGATCCCTTGGGTAAGTGGCTGGGAATGTGGAAGGCATGCTTGGCGCCACGGCGCCACGTCGTGCGTTTGTCGTCCGAAGACATAGTCGATCTCGCAAGGGTGACCAAGAGACTCCAGGTGTTTCGAGCCACAAAGAAAGCAGCAAAACGAGGTAGCCACGGGCACATGCCATATTCATCCATATTCTAATTAGATCTAATTAGCAAATGCCCACCACTGCACTTTCTTCCTTGATCCAGACTTGGTGTTTCCAAGACAGTGCAAGCATGGGTGATTTTGAGCATGTCAATGAATGCTTTCCCTCAGTATATACCTGTTAGGTTTTTTGCTCCAAGTTGGCATTCATGTATCACTGCTTGATGGTTGATGTTCACGCCGCAGTCTCAGCAGACAGGGCGGAAAATTCCATGTTTTTCCACTCTTCAACCAGAGAAAATTTCCCAAGCCACGCAATTCCTCCAACCTCCTCCATCGGCCATCCGGTGGCTACGCAAGAATTGGAGGGATTGGGGACAAGTTCAGGCAGCGAAAAGGTGGAAAGTTCAGGCAGCTTCGCTTCACCTTTTTCAATAGACGTACATCCCGTACTAGAACCCTTCCGCGATCGGGTTCAGCGAAAGGAACGACAGATCCGACGCCTTCGGGTTCCGCGTCCCACCAGGCATCGAAGTGCCACAACTGGCGCTCGACTCACAACGCTCGCCACTGGGCCCGGAGTTGGTGCAAAGTCTCCGACGAGGCTGGTTGGAACGAGGCTGTCGTTGGTCTCGTGGTGTTCGGAACGACGGAACTAGAGCGATCCTGAGGAACTCTGTTTCAAAGGTGTTGGCCCTTTTGGCTTTTAAGTTCGGGAATGTTCTGGATATTAGCATGTTGGATGGGCTTGGTTCAATGACTTGTGATCCCTACTGAGGTAAACTATGTTGTTATGTTCTTCTCATGTCTCTCTCATGTTATGCCTTTGTGCTATGTGTGCCTCGCAAGTTTAGGGTCCCATTATAGACATGCATACATACCAGTAGGAAAGTAGTATGTGTAAATCAACACTTGTGAGTCAGCTCAATTGGGTTCATTTTGAGAGTGATCACCTTTTGGGAACATGACAATGCTCATTTGCTTTGTGCCACATTGTCACACACTCTCAGTCATCAAGGAGTAAAAGTGAGTAACACCGTGCCTATGTGTTCATGCGAGTTCATATTGGAGGAATTATGTTTGGCGGTATTTTCCCACGGAAACAAGACCAATCCTGGCCATGTTGTTGTGGCCATTGGGGGCCCACATGACCTCAACATCTCGCGCCTGCGAGACTGAGTTCTTTTGCCCCGTAGAGTCGACTGGTTCGCACCGGAAAATGGGTTTGTTGGAACCTTTTTTGTTCTTCGGGACGTGACCTCACTTTTCTCGGGTATGAGCGACGTCAGGTCCAGGGAAACGACACCCCTGTTTGCGACCACCTCTTAGACTCGATGCTCGCAGGTGTCCAATGGGAACAAGCCTTATGGCTGGCGCGTGGCTGGCCGAGGCTGCGGGATAAACCGTTGGAGGTGGTGGCATCGATGTTGAAGGAGGTTTCAAGGTTTCAGTGAGAGTGAAAGTGAGTTGTCACGAACTGATCCCAGCGACGAATTCCGACAGTGATTCCGACTTGTTCCAGTGGATCTTATGCTTTCTTCTTAAGATCAACTGATGCAATTTGTTTGGGTATATGTAAGGGGGTTGGCACAGGTCTGGGTAAGCACTACACGTCCATGAAAGATGATACAGAGAGGCAGAGACACAAGCTTGGTTGAAGAGAAACAGAGCGTTGAAGACACCAATATACTTGGTGGGTTTTGTGCGGCTAGGTGACGTGATGCATCCCGTCAAGAACAGAGGAACATGTTACAGTGGCTTGTTGGAGTTGCCAATTCAGGAGCAGCCATCAGCAAGGATGGTGCAGGTGGATTGTCAGCAGTCACAGGAAGAAGTTCTAACCGGTTGAGATGTTCGCAAGTCCATAGTAAGAACCAGTACACGAAAAAGAGAGGCAAGGTCACTGCCGGGCCGAAGATGAATGCACTTGAAGAAACGGTCAACGGGAGGCCCCGGTGGTAAAAAAGAGGCCGAGAGGCCCGGGTGTTGAAACATCTGCTAGTGACCACTTCTGGCCGATGGCATGTGCTGATTTGCCAGTGCGATCAGATCGAGCTTTCTCGAGCTTGGAGTCACGATCGAAGGATGGCTACGGTCGGGCGAGTAACCATGCATCGGAGTCCAAAAAAGCACCTCCCCCCCGGATCAGCCTAACTTTGTCCAAAACAGCCTAAAACTGTCAGTCTCAAACGAAAAGGTTTCAATTTCCGAACAAAAAGCCTCTGTGCCGGGCCGCACAAGAGGCGCCGTACCTTGTTTTTGACACCCTACCCCGAACAAAAAGCACAAAAAACAGACCAACACAGATTTAAGTGAAACAATATAAAACAAGTCCATCGGCTTATAAACATCAACATTCCCTCAACCTTCAACCACGTCCCTAACGTTGTCCCTTTGAAGTTCCAGAGTTGCAAGATGTGAGCGCTATGTTGGGCGGCTGTTTTGTTCCAACAACAACAACAACAACAACAACAACACCAGCAGCAGCAGCAGCAGCAACAGCAACAGCAACAGCAACAGCAACAGCAGCAGCAGCAGCAACAGCAACAACAACAACAGCAACAACAGCAGCGGCAGCAGCAACCGCAACCGCAACCGCCACCACCACCACCACAACAACAGCAACCACAACAACAACCACAATCACAACCACATTTGTGAATAGTTAGATGAACTCCTCGAACAAAGAAGGCTCAATAACAACTACAACAGACAGGTCAGGCAAACCAGGACCATGCTTCAGATTTATTGGAACAGGACTCATGACCACAGCTCAACCAGGCAACCAGAGGTTTGTCATCTACATGGGTCCAAGCTAGTTCTTCATCATGAGACAAATTGGTTTTGCTGCAGTAACCGTGGTCTTTGGATTTAGGGGGGCTGCGACAGTAACTGGAACAATCATGCAAATCCTCTTGACGCAGTGACGCAGAAACTCAGTTTCCACGAGGAACAATGGAACCCGTTTCCATGGGCGGCACTTGCTCACCTTGTGCTGACACTTCTGACAAAAAGCACACTATACGTTCATTTAATTTAGTCTTAACCTATAATCACATCTAATCACCATTTCCTCCCAATAAATGTCTACTAAATCTATCGATGGCTCCCTGGAGCCGCGCATCTTACACACCAGCCGCCTCTTCAGGGGCACGACGGAGACCTGGTTTGCCGCCGCAGGTGCTTTTGGTCAGATGTGGGGGACAGCTTGGGACCTTGGGAAGGGAGATGGATGTCGGTAGATGGGTCCAAGTCTTCCCAGACACGACACGTGGGACTGCTGATGCCGGACTGCCGATGCTGGGTGGTTTTGGGGGAGTCTTTCTGGGGCGGCAGTCCGTCCTGGCAGTCCCATGGAGTGTATAGGTCCGGAGCCGAGTGACGGTCGTGCCGATGTCGCTCGCTGTTCGCCTTGCTTCCCCGACACCAGCCACATCGGTCCGGTCGTGCCCGGTCGGAGAGTGATCCTGGTCGACTGGTGCCATGACCCACAGCCACATAGGAATGACTGGAAGAGGTCAGAGGTCGATGGAGATTGATCATACAAATCGAAAACTTATTACTAAACCTAATCCTTTACTTATTGATTGATCATACTAATCCTTTACTGGACTTGGTCATACAACATATTACTCAATGAAGTAAAGGATTAGGTTTTACTGGGTCTTCAGAGCTGTAAGGTGTGATACTCATTCCACTCCAACTCACACTCGGATCGATCCAAAAGGAGTTACGTGATCACCTGATCGCGTGAGATTCAGCCAGCCCTAAAAGATCACCCAAACATCACGCAACAGTGAGGTCCAGGAGGAGGAATTACTTGTTCTCAACAGATCTGGAACGCATGGGAGGGTTAAACTTTAAATTTCAATCATATCAGATCACGGAACTGGATCAGAGCGTGGTTTTCCACAGCCCACCGCCCATTTGCCAGGCAATTGCGCCATTGCCCGTGCATGGCAGCAGGCCGGGCCCCGGGCCGCACTGGGAGGAAGTGACATGACTCGCGGATGACTGTGGATGTTGTGCACAAGATATGGCTACATGCAACAGGAACATGAGCAAAATACTGAATATAAACCTGCGGACCCCGTGTTCTTCCATGCAGTTTGTATTTTCAGGTTCCGTGTTTTGCTGCCATACTGTCACCATGTTTGTGTTCATGTTCGATCGCCCTGGTGACCTCAGCGCTCACATCACGGATTGCGTAGATTGAAGTTTTGACAGTCGAGACCATCAAGACCTTCTAACTTCTAACCAATCCTAAAGCTAACCCAGGAAGTCCATGCATCACCTGCAAGACCTTTCTTGGGGATGGGTGGAACAAGGTTTTCCAGGGAGTCTCCGCTCGGGATTTTTGTGCGATAGCTGGATGGGATCTGTTCTGCTTGGTGCATGATGGTGCATGCATGATTTAATTGGGCATGTTTGTCCTTTGCATGGTCCAGATTGACCTGCCAGCTACGTATGATATGTTTGAAGTACCCAACTCTCAGTAGGAGGATACCGCCCTTCATTAAAGTTCATTAAGATGTGCTTGTGAAAGAACAAGTCTTGTCAGTATTGGCAGTACGTCTTCAAGCAACCCAGCAGACAACTAAGTACGTCTAGGTTTTGCGCTTCAGGATCGAAGCTGATGGTAAACCCCTCCTTGCAGGGAGTACAGCATGGATGATGCATACCGTTTACGGGTTAACTCCAACCTCCGGGCAGCTAAGCTTAACTGGTTAACTGGGTGGTTAGCTAAGCTGAGCAGTCGAAGCTAACCAACCTCCGGGCAAGTACACTTCAATGCCACAAATCTAGTGGCCGGCCAGGCCTTCTATGGGCTTGGCAGATTGTTCGCCCGACCAGAGTTGGTCGGTTCGGTCGCGATGGAGCACCATGTTGTTTGAGACATTGTTTTGGGATGGAGTCCGAACGGCAACCAAGCTGACATACTGCTCCAAAACATCCCGATGAAAAGATCACGAGATTGGTACTGGTACTAGATGTTTTGTGGATGTGATGTTCGACATGTTTCCGCCAAGTGTTCTAGCATGGGTTTGGTGGGAAAATGTGCGGACAAGCGAATTTGGACCATACCAAGGCTCATAGCTACTGTAGGGTTTGACCCTCACCGCTAGGGTCTTGGACCTCAAACATGTAGCAGTTTCAATCATGTAGCAGTTGGTTTTGGGTCCATCCATGAGTCGAGCCTCTGGGATATGGTTCCTGAGTTCCAAGCGGAGCCGGCGGTGGAGCAGGTCGCCATAGATGTTTAGCACGATGGAACTCAGTCGAACCAGCCATTGGGTTTCGATGGAACGAGTTTTCAAAAGACCAGACGCTCAAAACCTACTGTACAGTAGGAGTATCGGCAAATATCGGCAATATGCTTTAGATATTGGGTGTTCTGCAGTGTGGGTATGTGTGGGTCTCAACCAATTGCCACAGGAAGCGTTGATTGATGTGGCTCGCCCCATGTTCGGTTTCGCGTCGGCTCTTCAGCCATTCATCGTGATGGCTTGTCCTGCACCATGGATCCATATGGATCCATCTGGGTGAATAAATAGGGGAGACCTCCGGACCTCCGGACCTCCCAACCAATTGGTTTCGGCCCTACACCTCCGTAGACCTCCGTAGACCTCCGGACGCCACCGAGTCGGTGGACAACGACGTGTCGGTCCACGGGCGAAAAAGTTGGGTACTGGCGCCAGGGGTAGAGGGAACCTCCGAAACTTGACCTCTTCTTGAGGGAACTGGAGGTCTCTACTGGTAGAGGTTTGCACCGACATCAGAGATCTGACTGGGAACCTCCTTGGGGCCAGGAGGCATCATGGTCTTCAACTCTCCACCGATGCGCTCCGACAAGCGCCCGGCCTCCCGTATCTCCCGTTGGGCGCCATTGGGCGGAGATCAAACAGTGTTTTTAGTCGGCAGACTAGACATGACTCATCACTATAGTCAAATGTCAAATCCTTTATCAGGTGAGGTCGTTTGGCGGAATTGGATGTTAAGAGCCACACGCGAAGCGGGCCATTTCATCATGCTTATGTTCTCAGTCTTTTTGGCTGTCTTTCTCACTCGACTCGCTCGACTTGCCCCAAGCATCACTGACTAGCAAATGGTGGTTGAGCGGACAACTTCGAAGCGGTTTCGGAGAAGCAGGAAGGCCAGATTAACTCCTCACTGTTTGTCATTGAACTCCTGCGGCTCTTTGTAGGAGCAGACAGCAGATCCCATGTAAACCAGCTCGACTACTGGCACTTGCCGGGAGGATTGAAGATTCAAGGCGTGCAAGAGTGATTATTTAGAGTCAGGTGGTTTCACGGGCTCACTCTGAGGTTTTCAGTTATTTTGCAGTCAAGCAAATCAAGTCTCAATAAGACTCATGCAAAGAAGCCTGTGAGTCACATACGACTGACATCGACTGACTATCCACCAAGGATCCGGAGTATTCGAGCGTTTGGGCGGTTTATATACGTGGTTGGGAATGTGAGTTCCTACCTGAGCATGGGATCCTGGATACATCAACATCGGAAGGCTAAATATATATATATATATATATAGGCAAATAGGTGTTTAAAGATTCTTTGAGCTACCCAATGCTCATGGACCCTCATATGGAGCGGTCGGACCCTCATATGGAGGGGTCTGGGGTCTCAAATCCCTATGATTTGCGGGACCAAGGGCTGTTTGGAGCGTTTGGGTATACATATCAAGAGCTTACACAACTTATAGAAACACATCTCGCGGGCAGATGATCCCTGACCCCTTTCACACAGCGAACTCTTCAGACTCACTCACGGACCCACGGATTTATTCTCCAAGCACAACCCACCAGGAAGTCCATTGGGAAAGTTCGTTGACCGGTGACCCTTGATGTTCCACCAACTCGGGTTAGACACGTGAAAACTCCACGCCCAAAACGCCTCATCCGTTTTTTTCTGCGCAACGCGCCGCACTCCACACACACAGCCGAAAGCAGCCGAAGAACGCCGAGGTTCGTCTTGCAGCGCCCGCTCAACCCTTGGAAAGGCTCCTTAAAGCTTCTGCGAATGATCAGGACTGCGGGAGTCCACATAAGTTAACTCTCGAAAGGATCAACAGGCGAAAGAGGCTACGGGCAGAACGTGGAACACGGACGGTATTGTTGGGAAATTTCCAAGATTGTGGGATACACACGGCCACGGCCTGGGATGCACGGCTGGGTGCCAAATCTCAATGCGTACATGCCACAAACCTCATACCGGCTGTTTTACTCCTCCAATGCGTCAATGCCTCATCTCCTCCATATTGGAAGGCCAATAGTTCATCTCTTTCCCTTTGGGAGTCACAGCCCATCAGATCAAACCAATCCTCCACACTCCACCAATGTGACCATCCAGTATAGGCATCGGCCCTCACCACGTAGAGCCTCCATTGCCCATTCCTCCTCCATGCTCTCAGATGCAAGCTCCCAATTGGCATGGCTTTGATCTCTCGTCAAGCTTGTGCCAATGTGCTAAGCTCTCGTGGTTCTCATGGTTCAAACACTCATTGTTCACACAGAATCCCATCAACCAAATAATCCCCTTCATTATTAGGGGATCTTGTTGACCTTGAAGGGGTGTGATTAATCCTACGTCGACATTGTGTAAGTTACCTGAATGACTGGTATGATGGGGATTGTCTGGACAAACCAAGTAATGATTTTGTTGCTCCATGAATGCAGACCAGATAGGGGAACAAGATAGTTGAACAACAACCCCCTAGAACAGAAAGGTCTATTTTTTGACAGAGGTTAGTTCAATAAGATGAAGACATACGCTCACACCTTTGTGTATCAATCGCCCCTTTTAGCGGTTTCCATAAGTTCGTCTTCCGGAAACAGCCGCCCGGCGAGTTTTCGGGGCTTTTCTCCGTTGGTTTCGAGCTTCCGAGGAGGGCTTTCCTTCGGCCCAGCATCATCGAGTTCAACAAGATCTTCCTCTCCTGTGCCCGGTAGACCTGGAGACCGTACGGGGAGACTGAAAACACTGGAAATGGCCATGGACTAGGGGAGCTTTTGTGTGATTTTCATGGATTTTCTGGGACACCCCTGGCATGAGTTAACAATTATAGAGTCTGGGTGATGAGTGAACTTTCCCTGGCATAGGGAAGACTTGGGTGAGGTTTTCCCTGCTTCCTGGGAGCAAATCTCAGACCAAGCGTGGACAGATAAGGAGGGTCAGACAGACTTCCCAGTGCAGGATGGAGAAGGGACATTCCGCAGGGGTGTGGGAGATGTGTTTGCAGGAAGTTTGTGGATCACCGGAATGGGACACCAGCTCATTGGTTGAAAGTTCGGTTAGATCTAAGTTAGGAACCTTTTCCAGGGAACTATCTAGGGAAACTAAAGGAGTCAGCATATGGCAGGGCCAGAACTACTGAAGTTCACGGCAGTCTACCTACTCAGCGAATGCTCAATCTTGAACTTTCCCCACCCCTACTAACAATGAGCAGGTGGAAAAGGCCAACCGTTGTTTTCTGAATTATCCCCACGTTTGGTTATGGTTAGGATTAAATAGCAAGAATTGACTATAGACTTACTAAACCCTGTTTACATTCGTGGTTCCAAAGACACCCTGTTCCTTGCCTTTACTTGCTCCTGTGGGTGACGTTCACATGCAAGACTGCCCAGGCTCGGTTTTCCTGGTCCTACACTCTTTACTTCCTGAGCCTTCAAAGAACTGAGGCATACGGTTTTGTCATGCGCGGCGCAGACAATGCAGTTTGAGTGAGTAGAGTTCAGGAGAACAAGCAAAAGAGGGTTGATCTTCAGTGAGAGGATCGTCCAAGTTTGGTTGGCGAATTAAGACATGTTCTCGACCTCAATGTGGACTCTTGATTAGTAAAACCCCGTATGAAGAGGTGTTACAATCCAATGGGAGGGTTATTAATCAAGATTACCCCTACTACTGTAGTGACCGTGCAACTAATAATGTGATCTAATGGGTTGTTATTTGGTCAACGGGGGTCCATCAAACAAAGTGGCCACATGTTGATGGCCCAATTCAATCTGCTGCCACACAGGCAAACAATGCCATGGCTGGGTGGAACAACACTTTTTTTGGGTTTTAAAGACCCCTCTGAAGATGTCCTAAACCTAGAGCTAGATCATTGGATATCCACCTACAAAATGAACACGCCGACATGGTGCTTCTTTTTTTGTCTACGATGCCATCCAAACAGTATTTTTGTTGATACGTTGGGTAAGAATTCTTGATACTGAAGGACATGCAACGCATTTCCGTGTTCGTGTTTGGGTTTTGATATTCGACATGGATGGAAATACATTTGCTTGCATCATTTGTTTGAGGCACAGTACAAAGCACAAATTTTGAGCTCTGGAGAACAATCAAAAAGAAGCGCTGTAATGACGATATACAAGCTTTTGCATTCCAAAAGGGTTTGGGCTTGAACTCATCTCTCGCCACGTCCAGAACTGAAGACAACAAACACGTTTGATTTTCCTCAACAAACGCTTAGCAGCTGGCTTTGTACTACTAGTTGCGTTTCCACAAAGTAATAAGCAAAACGCACCGTTTTGGAGCTCGGATTTGTTCAGAGTCACCAATCTTTTGCACATTCATGCTATTTTAGGTGTTCATCGGACCGTTTGGTGGAGTCCAGCGATGAAGTTGCACAACGAAAGTGGAAATGTCCTTCACGGCCAAGTTTGGGCATCATTTTCCTGGTGGGAGGAAAACAATTTGCTCTAGAAAGCTCCTCCACATGTATGGACATAGTTTGGTGAAGAAACTTCCATTTACTTCGATGAATACATCCAAATGCAAGAAGGACACACACACACATGATTTGGGTGTTTGAGACAAAAGAGGCCTGAAAGCTGAAATCGCAGCCATGATGCGGCATGATACAGGCACCAGACATCACTGACTGTCGGTGCTCCAAAACCCCCTTCTGTTCGAACATGAAAGCTGAAAGGATCTGAAGGGAAATGTAGCTTTGTTTAAGGTGATGTTTATTTTCCCTGTGGGTGAACCTCCTTGGGAATATGTTTCCTGGTTCCTTGAGCAAACAGCAAATCCACAAAGGCCAAGGCAAAACAGGTGCAAAGAACTTCTGAGAACTTCTGTTTGGTCATTTCCGCAGTCGACGAGCACCAGTTGCGAACCAAGAGAAGTTTTAGTACTGCAATTTAAGAATTGGGCGGAATGTCACTCCACAAGTCAATGATTTTCGGTGATGGGCGACATAAACCTCCTTTCTTGAAATTTGCAGGTGTGGCTCCAACTTTCAAAACAATGCTGACTTACTTGCTCTATTTATGTGTTTGACTCTGTTTGCTTCCTATACAATGAAAAAGAAGCCCGTACTATCTCTAGACTAGATGATCATGCGGGGATCGCCAACTGTGTGTTGTTTCTCTCCACCCCAAACAGCCGACCGAGCCGCCCGATGACGCCTCCAGGCCTGTGAAGTCGATGATGCCTCCCTGTCCACAGCTCTCTCCGTCCGGGAGCGACCAGGAGACTGTGGGCGACCGGGCAAACAGGTGCTTCTTAGTTTCCCAAGGTCCATGGGACTGGACTGGACTGACATTTGGGTGGATTTCAGTGACAAGTCCGGAGTGTGGGGGAGAGGTACCTGCGACCGCATGTGGCATTGGGTGTTCATCGCAGATGAAAACCGACTCCATTTCCAGTGAGTCGCAGGTCTCATCTTGGTGAGACGTCAGGATTATTGGAGAATGTTCCTCTCCCATTTCATTTGGTTGCATCAGATGTCCTGTAATCCGGCGCTGAGAAGGGTCCCCGACTGGAGCGACACAACACAGAAACGAGAACGGAGAACATTGAAAGCAGAGTGGGTTTTTGACGGAAGGCCAGATCCTTCTTTGAATGAATGACCATGGAATACCAGTCTGAGCGTTAATTCCTTTTTGTTTCTGAAATGAAGAAGTCCAATTGAATTCGTTGTCCTTTTTCGACTGTACCCAAACGTCCACTCCCACTCAGTCAAATTTGCAGGACACCAGTTTGCGTAAAAAGGTACATTGCATAAAAATGCATAAAGGACCATGGTGCCATGTCAGTGATGGGGTAGTGTGTCATTTGTCTTCGTGCTCAGCCGAGGCCTTTTGTTTGAAGTTCCGGCCCTGGCAGTACGAGCTGAGCTCAGACGGAGGGGTGTTCGACGAAAAAGACGGAGCCATGCGACTCGTGAGCTGGACAGTTCTGGTACGAAGCAGGTACTGGCTACACATATTGCTTTTTGTTGAGCCTCAAGTGGACTTTGTTTTAGTATGTTTTAGTCTGTTAATCTTTTTCGATTGCTGCTTCTATATAATGTTTTTGTTTGTTTGTATAAAGAGTGTTTCAATCATTTCCAGGTGTTACGTATGTCACGTGACAGATCTTTGTTGTCGGCTTATCTTGTCGGTGACTCGCAGCATGAACCTCGCGGAAGAACTTTATTGATTATTGCGATGATTCTCCCAAGGATTCCAGAGTTTGTACAGGGGGACTGGGACTGCCTGTTTCTCGGTGTGTCAGATTGACCTCCCACTGATTGGAAAAAAGGATCACCCGAAAGGTTTGGCATTGATTGACCCTTCCCATTTAGTCAATATACGGTTTAAGGGTGTTTAAGAAACTGATGGTTCCCTCTCATCCACATCCATATATAATTAGATTTCGTCCTCACTAATTGATGGTTTTCAGCTTCTTATAGCGTTTATAAAGTGTTTTGTTTATGGGTTTTCTCGTGGCCATGTGTGGCAATGACTCTACTGGTTTCCTCACAGTGCTAAAACATACACTTATAGAAATGTTTCATATGGTAAGGCCAGAATCCTTGATTTTAAGCACGTCGAAAACAAGTCAAACAGAAAGTCGAATGGAAAAGTCAAAGGCGAAAAACAGTCAAATGGAAAAGTCAAAGTAAAAAAAAGTCGACAAACAATAAAACACAAAAAACTAGTAACAAATACAAGTAAAAAACAACACACATCAAACATAGATCACAACTAGAAAAAGTTAAGAACAGGTCAAATAAAAAGCAGGAAAACAAAAAAATACAAAAACACAACAATAAAACACACACAAATACATCAAAAAGTCAATCAACATCTAATAAAAGTCGGACAAAGGTCAAAACACATCAAAATGAGAGCAACAAAAGAGAATCCTAATTCGGATCTGGGCCAATTGACTTTAACTTTCTGAAACTTTCTGATTTGACTTTTGGACTTTGACTTTTGGGACTGACTACTAAGTTGATAATGCTTGTTGACTTTTTTGAAACATTGAAAACATGCTCTCTCCAATGAAAGATGTTTGTAAACATACACGCACTTGGTATCACCTAGTGACCTCTAGGTTCCAGAAACCAATTGGACGGGCCTGTAGCTAGCTCTGCCACCCTTCAATCTCCCCCAGTTTTCACCCCGCTGATCCGTGGGTCGGGAGCCGTGGGCCGGTAACGAGGCCTGCGAGATGCTCCGCAGCTTCCAAGCTAATGCGAGGCTTCCGGGTGGCTTCTTCGCTCGGTGGTACGTCGGCGACAAGGACGAAGCACATGGAGAAATGGGATGTGAAGACAAATTCATGGAAGAAAGGAATTGGGTGGCTCTTGGATGAGAAGAGAGTGGAGCACCAGTTGCACTTTGAGCATGGAACTTCAATTGTACCAGATTGCACCGTTTTTGTCTCTCAAAGCACGGTACCACAGCAGGTGCCTCCTGCATCAACATCCGCGAAACCCAGCGAAGCTTCACTCAGAGCCATCCGCGAAGTCCGCGCTCCGCTCGCATCCAGGTGTTCAAACCTGGGGCTGCGAACCCTCAACAGCGCCTTGGGCGTTTTCGCCAAGCGCCCTCTGCTGTGGAAGAAGGCGAGCGGGTCGCGCGAGAGAGACAAAAGTGAGCGAATCGCAGAGGTCGCCCTCCTTCTTTTTGGGGGGAGGGGAGTGTGACTATAGCGACTACTCTGAGGTGGTTATGGCGTGAAGGATCTCGTTGGTTTTGGGAAAGTGTTGGCCAAGTATGTGACCCCGAGAGAAGAGCGAATACCCAGTACCATTGGACGTCGATCGATTTGGGGAAGAAAGAGTCCATCGCCCGGCTGGAATGAGCAACAAATCAGTAGGGTCCAGTCACAATTCTTTGTACAAGAGGAACTTTTGCATAGCAATCATGACTGAACCCTGTAAAGCATTAAGCCTTAAGCGATACAGTGAGCAGCCAAATGCGATACCATCATTTAATTAAAGGTCCTGTATGATTGTATTTCTTGGCTTGGCAATTCCCGCTTTACATGAAGCGGTACCAAAGCGATACCACTTGTTGATCAAAATGGTGTCTAGATGAGCGGTAGAAAAAGGATCGCTGGGGTATTGAAGGGGGAAGGAAGGTTTGCTGTGTGAATAGAATCCTCTCTCAACCTCTCTCTCTCTCTCTGTGAATAGAATCCTCTCTCTCTCACTTTGTTCTCCACCTCTACCCATATCCATGTAAAATTATGTAAAATTGACAAGCATCCGGAACACTGTAAAGCGATATAGCGAGCAGTGTAGCAAACACCCACAAGCGATGGAGTTCCACTGCTGTATGCACAGGTTTTTCATGTTTTGTCCTATGTTTTTCCTATCACCCGGCTGGCTTATGGATTTTCACCAGTCACCTCAAAATGGCTTCGACTGGTTTCGACGTCCTTCCGGAAGGGTGCTTGACTTCGGCTGGCTCACCGAAGCCGCTTCAGCCGGTTTCCCGTCTCCAGTGGTCGAGTGGTCCCAGTCGCATTCGTTCCGATGCGAAGGCGAATGGGCTTTAAAGAAGACATGTGTTCAGATGGCGGAAAGCCATGTGTTCAGATGGTGGACACATGGAGAGATTTTTAGTTCTTAGATGTTCTTAGCAACATCAAATTGGATGTCTTGAGATGAAACACCTCACAGCTTACTTCCCTAAAATTTGCCACCAGCTTGCTCCACCGAAGTTAATCGCTCCAACACCAGAGCTCAGGCCATGCAAATGGCCATGGCCTTCGAGCGCTCGCCCTATGTCCCCGATGCACCCGCACGTGGCTAGGCGTTTTTGGAAGCCGAATCCATATTTCGTACCAATCTGCGTCTAGACTTAGACCCTATAGACATGTTTTGAGCCGGAAGTAGTGGCGTAGTGACAGTTGTTGAGGACCAGTTTTTGGAGAGTTGCCCAGTTGTTGCGGGAATGTTTTTGTGTTGAGGGCAATTTTTGTTGTTTGTTGTGTGTGTTAACATTTGCTAAACCTTATAACCACCTTTTGTTGTCCATGTTGCTAATTGTTGTCTTTTGGTATGCAGGGACGCACACATTGTTGTCCGGGACGTGTTTTACCGTAATCCCTGAACTTGGTCTATTTCACAACACTCATCAATAGTGTGCAGGCTTTCAAAAGGACGTGAATTCACAAGATGGACGTAAATGTTGCGAGAACTTGTAAAAGGCTATCTTTTAACATCCTGGACTGAAATTCAACACCTCATCAGTTGCTGCGGCAGTCCTTGCCAGTTGCCTCCGACGTCTGCCTAGGTCAAGCCATTCGCGTGGCCCGTGCGCGGCGAACGGCAGCGACTCGTTTCGGAAGGAATGAACCAGCTTGGATCCATGATCTGGGGGCGTGAACTCAGCACCAGCAGCAGCAGCACCAGCAGCAGACCACCGGAAGCCCGGCTAGCTTTCGTTCACCCCCTCTGGCCTCAAGTACTTGAAAACTGAATCACTTAAAAGACATAAAAAGACCACAATTTCTGGATTTGGACCGGTGTCCCAGTGAAAAACCGCAGGTTCGAACAAAAACTCGTTTCTTCCTTTGGGAAGATGGACCGCCAAAAGCATTTTGGGGGGGTTGGAGGAGATTGGTGACGCCCCACAGACATCCGACAGGTGGACTAAGGGTAACCTTTCCAGGGAAACTGAAGTCGGCATTTCGACTCAAGCAGTGCACGGTGCACAGAGCATCACATAGCATACCTGAGGACTGCCATGATGACCACTTGATGGGCTGGGGCCCACAACTGTTTTCGAAAAGCGGTGACTTTGACATCCAAACCTTTGGAATCCATGTATAATGGAGTTTCACACATGGTTCACTTTGATTATCTTTGACATCCAAACCTTTGGAATCCATGTATAATGGAGTTTCACACATGGTTCACTTTGATTATAGAAGAAGAAGAAGAAGTGCTACTAAAAGAATCCGTGTGCACTGCCTTCCCCGGTGTGCTCCGACGAAGCTTGGGCGAAGCGCTTTGGCGACACGAGGCCTTTCGAAGACTTTGCCGCATCACAGCGTCCTGGCAGGAGGTACGGGATTGCGGGCCGAAGCGGTTCGGAACGTTATACAAAGCTGTATATATATAATGCAATAGGAATAACATGGAATATCTGATGGATCAACATGATACTAAAAGATCTAAAAATACTGAGTCTGATTAGTGGGTTTTGCTTGGGGTGGGCTTTCATTTAACGGTTGCAGAGGTTTAATGGCACAAAACCGCCCCAAGATGTCTTGAACAGATGGGGTTCCACATAAACTACCAAACTTGGGGATTGTGCCATCTACTCCATTTGCATCCACTATTATAATTCTTTAACTTTTCCATGTGGTTGAATCCTCTATGCATCGTGTTCTCTAGATCGTTTGGTGGCTGTCGGAATGCTTTGTATGACGTTTGCAACAGAGTGCTTGTACGGACGTGCTTTCTATATATATATATACCAGACCCGTCGTCGTTCGTTCCAGTACCTTCGAAAATGGGACATGGCCCGAACCAAAAACACGGCCCGAACCAGGTACCACTGTTCCGAGGTAAGTACTTACTTTGAGACTCAAACGGTGCAGCTTTTTGAAGCATCTAAACCCCACGTGCAACCGGTGCTGGGACAACCTGACAACTCACCACTTCGGTTCCGGATCGGTTCCCAGATCAGGAGTCCACCTCCGTGACGGAGGTCGGTTGTATCCAAAGGTCAATCACCTAAAACCAGGTTTGTAGTGTTTTAGACCTGGAATCCTGGAATCTCAGCTACCTACCTCGGAAAATGGCTACAGTCCTATCTATTCCCATTTTCTAACATACGAAATGGGGGGCCCAGGTATCTATATAATGATATACCAAAGTGTTGGTCTTGGTGGCCAACTTGTTTTCGGGCTACAAGCTGGTCTCCGCCAACCCTGTCCTCGCCTGCCAGGCGATCTCGACACTGGAGCGACTTCGCTTGGGAAGCTCAGAGACTCCAAGTCACACAGGTATGCACCGTATGCACTGGCCAAACAAAAGGTTGCGCTCCTTGAAATTCCAACACAAACTCTTGCCACCCTTTGGTCTGGTAACTCTCTTTCAGGGTTACATCCTACACTGGGAGATCGTGTGACCGTGGTGGGTGGTTCATTGACCGTGCCACACCTGCCACCAACCAATTGGACTTGGTAAATCACAAAAGGTAGCCTCAGGCTACCTGAGTTCTCCTTGCTTTAGCAAAAATGTATTACAATATATTACAATCAGGACTTGGTGTTGTGCCTAGAGTTTGGTCCTGTAAGAAGTGATTCTGTTCGACTGGGAGGGTGGCCTCCCCCCTGGATCATTCCCCCCTGTGCCGTCGCTGTTTAGGTCACATCCATCCACCTTTGACGCCGTCGTGGACTTCTACAGTACCAGGGTTACTTGTGATTGCCTGCTACCTTTCGTTCACCTCCTCCTCCCTCAAGTTCAATTCCGCAGCTTACCCTAGCAGCGTTTTTATTGTCACATGCTTAATAAAGCATAGTAACATAATACCTTTTGTAGTACCTTTTGTGTGCCCGGCCCCAATGTTTTTATCCCTGCGATTGGGCCGAACCCCTGGGCCGAATTCGGGGTTTACTGGAAAATGGTTAAAACCACCGGTTTTCCTTCTCTTCCATGTGAGTTTGCGGGGGGTGTATACCGGCCAGGAAGCCCCCTCAATGTATATGCCAGTCCCGTGGAGTGTGGCTGTGGATCAAAAACCACGGTTGGCTTCTGCATGTTTAAATTCCGTGTCCATTCTGCGCATTTGCTGGTCAACCCAGGCATATGGGTTTGGACCCACAGCCATATACCTGTGACCATTCATGCGACTGACCTATTCATACCTAGATTGGGGTAGTTGGTTTCAGGGGTCAATAGGGTGGCATATATTCCAGTTCCCTGGATGTGAGTCTGGGTACACTTGCGCACAACCAAGAGATGTCAACATCCCCATTCAGCATTTCAACGATGCACCTTGTTTTGTTTCTCTGAATTGCCTCAAGTCTGTCTTTCTGTTTGGGGTGCAGTATAATTTTCTCAAGTGACCCATATCACATGTTTCTCACAGTAGGTCGCATCCAAGTTGGGTCGAGTTTCTGAAGATCTGGTGGTGTTGTCCCCAAGTTGGCATGAAACCTCCACCAGGATCAGGTGGTGTTGTCGCTTCTTTCATCTCGTCGATGATCCTCCGAACGCTCCACCTCCTCTCCGGCGAGGCTCGAAGTCTCTTCCTGTGACGGTCGCAGAGCTCCAGGCGCCGGTGATGCGCACACGAATGCGCCGAGCTCCGCCGGTTTCGCCAGGTGATCGAGTCCTTTTTCCAAAGAGGGACCCTGAACATAGCAGCGCATCAAGCCACCGTGTGGAAAAAAGCAGAGTGCAGTCCTCAGATGATGCACCTGGCATGGACTCACTTACATTCACAATGAGCTTAGATTCTAGATTAGTGGGCTTGCGGAATAATCCTGGTACAAGATGACCCAAGGGTAATATATATATATATAGATAGATAGAGAGAGAGATCCCAAACAGTTCTGGTTGTTCCAACATGGCTTGCTTGAGGTCTTTTACAACATTACCCAATGGAAAATATACGGATCCTAAACAGTTCTGATTGCTCCAGTATGGTTTGCTTGAGAACTTTTACACTATGACCCAATGAAAACATATAGAGATCCCAAACAGTTCTGGGTGTTCCAGTATGGTTTGCTTGAGAACTTTTACTATATGACCCAATGGAAAATATAGAGATCCCAAACAGTTCTGGTCGTTCCAGTATGGTTTGCTTGATAATGTTTACAATATGACCCAATGGAAGCATATAGAGCTCCTAAACAGTCATGTTCTTTTTGTTCCAGTATTCCAGTATGGTTTGCTGGATAGTTTTTACAATATGACCCGTTAGAAAAGCATAGAGGTCCTGAACAATTCTGGCTGCTCCAATGGGGTTTGCTTGAGATCTCTTTACATTATGATCCAATGAACAAATATAGTGATCCGAAACAGGTTTAGTTGTTCCAACATGGTTTGCTTGAAATATATATATCTATATATCACAACATGACCCAAAGAAACAATATAGACATCCTAAACATTTCTTGTCGTTCCAACATGGTTTGCTTGAGGTCTTTTACAACACCGTATGACTCAATGGAAACAAAAAGAGATCCTAAACAGGTTTGGTTGTTCCAACATCGAAGTGGCTGGCGTGCAGGAAATATAGAACTCAGACCGTTGGTAGCAGCAGGAAATGCCATGTGGATCCCAGACTACAGGTCCTGGGTGGACAAGTTCTTCCAAAAACGTTTCTGGAAGCTATTGGTCAGAATGCAATCGCAGAACCCTTGACAACACAACCCACTTGCAACTGTAGCGCATGAACCTCGGTATCAAGCTCGTGGAGCTCAGGTCACTATGGGGGCTACGGTCTTTGTCCTGGTCTGTCCGGTCACTGAAGGTCTTTGATTTATATATACCTAGAACCTGAATGACCTCTATTTTGGATCACCAACCACCCAAAATATGTGTTTTTCCTATCAAAACAGGTCAAATGGGCTCTAATTCGGTAGACACATACTCTTAAAGACTGGAGTACCAGCAGTCACAAGACGGGGTGTGTTTAGTCCCATCCAGTGAGTGGATGTTCTGGGCACCCCTAACCTCCATGGATCGCACCCCTTTGTGACTGCTGGTAGTTGAATCCACTCAAGTTCTTCCAAAGGTTTCGAAATCACCCGTCGACACTGGTCAAACATCAGGAGGCGGTGACTGCCTGCAGTGACAGCTCTCAGTGGGTGGGGTTCCTTGGTGACAGGGGCGGCCTGGGCCAAGCCTGGGGCTGGGGCCTCTGGAGGGTCAAAGGAACGTTCCAATTCAGATTGGGGAGGTGTGGCAGATTCGCGTGTGTCCGAATTTCGAGACACACCCACTGTCGCCAGCGAGTGAGGTGGTTTGGTGCTTTGATCATGAGTGCCGCGCTTTTTTGTTGGTGCGTGGCGTCTTGCAGTCGATGAGAACCGCCGAGACCGTGCCGGTTTTTGTTTTGCAAATGCCGGTAATGTAGACTCTTGATGAATAAACCCTCTCCAGAAATGCTCTTCATATGGGGGGGTTATTAATCAAGCGTCTACATTACATATCCAAATGGAGTAGATGGATGATGATGAATGTAGATGGAACAGAACCAGAACACACCCAAATAAGGAACTCGGCAGCACAGCGACATCACCACATGTTCCTTTCACGCGACATGTTTAATCTTCAGTGGCCAGCATCAGCCAATTGACTGGTGGTTTTCACAGATTCTTTATGTTCAACCTTTACTTGGGGAATCTTGTGGATGATTCTTCACCCACAGGTCCTCATATGTTTCGTTCGTGAGTTGAAACCACCCACCACCAACCAGCCATTCGTGGTTTCGTCGTCAGGAAATGGCCCTCCAAGTTTCGCAAGAACTTGCTGCCATGGCCCCGTCCTGAGGGTGCCTGGCTGGGCTAAGCCTAAGCAGGAAACATGTTACCTTACGAAAAAGCACATGAACGTAGACGTGGAATTGTGGTAGCATCGATAGCATCAGGCCGATCATCAGGCCCTTTGCCCACACAGTTTGGAAAAAACGAGTCATCGAATTGCCATCTGAGTCGAACAGTTTGGCAGAACATCCGGTTTTGCGAACTGCAAACTGCACAGCCCAGGTGAAAGGGTTGCTTTGAGAAAAAGAGCAGCTGCGGGGTAGCTGGATGGATTGGGTGATGCCATGGAGAGTGGCCCCGCCCAAACGGAACAGTTCGTTCTCTTCGGGACCTGCACGCCCGATTGGAGTCGGAATGCTAGCAGACCGGTGTGGTCCGATGGTTCGAAACGACACCGGGCTCCGGTCTTCGCTTCGAAACGGCCAAGCCAAGAGCTGACCTTTGTGGGTCGCACCCAGACCGTCATGTAGCAGTCTATTCTGTTCTTCCTGACGCGGCGAGCGAGTCTCGTCTGGCATACCAGGCATTCTGCCTAGTATCCTCCACACATATGATTTCACATGTGAACCCCGAATTAAGCCTCAGCGCTGTCCAAAGTGAAAGTCCATGCTTGCAAACGGGCTGTAGATACACCCGCAAGGATGCGGGCAAAACGAATCATGGTGTCCCGAGCCATGAAAATTTTGGCAACCAGGGTCGCCCCGGTTTTGACCCACAAGATGATTCAACCTGCCTTTGTTCCTTCTGGGGTGGCCCTCCGTTCTTAAATGCAAGCATGACACCAACTCAGGGAGGAAGACTTTGGAGGACTGTTGAACGTGCCAATGCGAGGTTCTGTTTCGGAGGCGTATGTTTGAACATCAAAGTTGCTTGAAGCAGTGGATACCCTTTCTCCAAACGCTGCATGTAGGCAACAAAAGGTCTAGAATATGTCTAATGCGTTCTATGAAAAACAATCGGCCCTGCAGTCTCACAGTCTCATGGAGCGTTTGGGCTGGTCGTTGATGCCACCCCATGCTGACTGCTGGTCGTTGATGGACAACCTTTGGGAACTGTGCGGGTCGTATGGCACCAGCAACGGCCTGCTGGTCAATCCCCTCACCTGGTGAATGAGTTGCTTCTTTTTTTCCCAGCTCCTTCAGCGTTATGAAGCGCCAATCCAAGAGAGAGCCAGAGGTCCTCCGGGTCCTCCGGGCACCAACGGCGACGCGGCCGTTCTCAGGCTGCCTGAAGGCAGAGAGTCCCACGGTTAAACCGGGACCCACAGTCGGGGTGCGGACACCCCGAAGCACCTTTCTTTCCGGGGGGGGGCTATATGCACCCAACGGCGGGGCCCTGGACATGTTTGCTTTGAAACTCTGTTGACCTACGGGTTCAATGTGTTTATTGTTTCGCAACTAAGTCATTCTTCCCACCATTGCGTCCTCAGCTGGATATAGTTGCAGTGTTTCTACATGGTTTCTACACTCTGAAACATCCTGGGACATCCTTCTGTGGTTCTTTCCGTGATTTCCATGTTCGGCGTTGATCGGCCACCGGACTATTCCGCTTCCTCAGACCCTTCCCCGGCTCAAAGTTTCAGCCGCGACATACCGCGACGGTTGCTTGACCGCATCCCCAAATGGGGGGGTGATGGTGATGATCACTATTCATCGGTTGCCTACGTTTTGTATCGTTTTGGGTAATTGGTTGCCCTACTACACATGAAGAGGCAAAAAGTGGTGAACCTTTAAATTCTACGAAAGCTGGGGACCGTCAGACAATCGTGGTTGTTTCAGGATGGTTGCAGGTTGCAGCCTGTATTCCGGTGTTATACGAGATTCGCAGCAGTTGATTGTTCACTGATTCGCTCTAGTAGCTGTCACGGAAGAATACTACGGTGTACAATACACCCTTGTCAAGACTGTTGGCTCAAATCAGTGGTGGTGCACATCTGCAAGCTTTGTTAGGTTTTTGCCAAAATACGTGAACACCCAGACGCCACCCTGGAGCCTCATATGAAGGGATCGGACCCAAATCCTTGGTTCAGAGGTCAAACCGATCCGCAAGTGAGAACCAAGTATTTAACCTGCTTTTGGATAGTGTCATACGCTAGGCACGCTGACCGTGTGGCAAAAGGGACAATGATGGTCTCACCAAAGACTCAAAGTCGGAAAACTGTTCACACCTAGATGGCAACCACCAGTTCTTGTCAAGCCACCAGAACTGTATTCCGCCCGTGGGAACGCTTGGAAAGTGATAAAGGTCAACATAATGATACTTCCAAGCCGCCCACCCGCACTGAGCCTTTTTCAGTAGACAACTGGACTAGTGCAAGATTCCCACACGGATACTCCCCATGTATGGAACATATGCCTTACGTTGTCCTTTGAAACCACCCCAATGATCCCCAATGTACGTATAAAAGTGAATGTTCCATACATGGCACCGGAAAAAAAAGAAGAGCCGTGTCGGTGTGGATTCTTCACCCTCGCCGCGCCCAGTTCTTGCTGTTTCGGCCAATGCAGGGGCGGGGGACGCCAGGGTAAAGACGGATCCTGCATGGGGAAGGGCAGCGAACCGGGGGTCAATTGTTAGTAGTACGGAGACGGAGATTGAAGCTAATCTATAGATCTTCTATTGTGTTAAGAATGGATGGACATGGGGATATAAGTGATACAACCCAAAAGAATAATGTGCGGGAAAACCCTTTACCTTCATTTGGTAATTCTCATGGATACCCAAAACTCCATACATGGTTGTGAGGGGCATGATGTGCCGTTTTTGGCCTGGGGTCCGATGTTGATGCAACCAATGCCTTTATGATCTTTATGATGCTTTCGCACCAAATTTCACAAGCTTAGCTTGTCGCTTTGTTGGCTCCACTTCTGCTTTGAAGGGTTTGTCGCTCGAAACGTGGCGTGGCTGAAAAATGCCAGGTTCTGTTCTTTCGAAAAAGCGCCGCTTTTCGGTCAAAGCGCTTACCCTGCCTGCAACGAAGAATCATAGTTTTTGGTGCACGTCTCCCCTTGAAAGACCATGAAATCCCCTACATGCCTGGTTTTTCACAGTGTTCACTCCACTTCCATGATTGTTTCAGGGAGTATAACCAATCATGGAGTAACACTGGGAGTGCAGTATAACCACTGATCTTCCAGAGAGTATAAGTTACTGTATAAGCACGCTTAACTGGTTGGGTGTCGCATTGCTCGATTCAGACGGAGTTGCTGTTTTCCCGAGGCTGGGACGCTTGGCTCACTCGGATGACTCCCCGGGGCCACCCGCGTGGCTCAGCTGAGGAACGGGGAAGTTGAGAGGTTGGGTAGTTCTGGATCCTATCTTACCCCAACTTGTTACTACTAGTAGTAGCTTTTGCTACTAGTAGTCATGGCCTCCAACCTACTAGCGATGGCCTCCAACCTAGAAGCCTTTGTTACTAGTA